CTCCAATCTCTCTGTCTTTTTCTCTTCCTCCGCACCAGTATTGTAATAACGTCCACCGCTAAAAGATATTGTCCTCTTTGGACAAACGTGTCAGCTAGGGAGAGGTAAGCCTACCGCTAGTAAATATTATCCTCTTTGAGCAAACATGTCTGCTAGGGAGAGGTTTCCACACCCTTATAAAGAATGCTTCGTTCTTCTCCCCATCTGAGGTGGGATCACACAATCCATCCCCCTCCCTTCAGGGCCCAGCGACCTTCCTGACACTCGTTCCTCTCCCCAATCGATATGGGATCTCACAATCCAGCTACCTTCGGACCTAGCGTCCTTGCTAGCACAATGCCTCGTGTCTACCCCCTTCGGAGCTCAACCTCCTCGTTGACACATCGTTTGATATATGGCTTTAATACCATTTGTAATAGCTCAAGCCCACCGCTAGCAGATATTGTCCTCTCTGGACTCTCCCTTTTGGGTTTCCCCTCAAGGTTTCTAAAACGTGTTTGCTAGGGAGAGGTTTCCACATCTTAATAAAGAATGCTTCGTTCTCCCCTCTAACTGATGTGGGATCTTACAAGTACATAACAAAAGTGCCGGTAGCCTAGCCATGTGAAAGTCGAGAAGATTTTGGTAATGCTAGAAAATTTTAGAAGATAAGAAAAGGGACAATTGCATAACTTATTCAGCACCGGTGGACGCAAAGAATGCACAAATTCCAAGCTAATAGCATACAAATAATCTTACATTAACTTCCCGTAAAATTGTGTGATCACATGACGCAACATTATTATAATAAAATCAAAGCAACTTTTGGCTACAAGGGCAGTGGATGAAGAATGCCAGATTTCTCTTCCTAAATCATATTCCAGGAATCAATCAAGCAGTTCTTCAAAATCCTAGTATGCACAATGCTCCTTTCCGGAGATTAAGACAGGTATTTACATGTTTTTGAGCTCTCATTATCGATCCACGGTGTAGAAGGTTCGTTGTGGTGGCTGCTCCAGAATGCAACTTCTTAATCAGAACCACCCAAAGCCCTTCTTAGATCAGATTTCTGTTCAAAAGTAAGCATTGATGGGAAAATGATATCAAACTTGATCCTTAGGTTCCCCTTCTTGTTTGGTTCTTTAGAGATGGGCATTCCTTCATTCTGGATCACTACCTCGTAACCGGGTTTGACAATATCAGTTACAGAAGTGAGATTTCTTCCATCCAAAGTTGTAACGTTCAATGTCTTTCCAGTGAGTGCTTCTAATAGAGATATTTTCTGATTGATTACCAAATCATTACCATCCCTCTCAAATACAGGATGGGGTTTCTCATCGATGATAAATATAAGATCAGCAGGAGAAACTCCAGGTTCTTGATTGCCTTTCTCAGGGAAAGTGACTTTTGTCCCCTTCTTCCAACCAGGTTTAATATCTATTTTTAACACTTCATCAACAGTTTTTGGCTTCCTACAAAACAAGTTCCTTGAATAAGCCTAAATTGAGGAGGAAAAAGTAAAGAAGAAAATGAAAGAACATTGAAGATACAATGAGATCAACGAAATAAGGTGTCAATTGTGAGCTTGATTGCAATGTGATGCAAGAAAGAAAGAACAAGCTTAAGTTCATCTAATCCAAATCAATATTGCTTTCCAATTCAGCAATAAAAACATACTTATTACTCCTAAATAACAGAAGATATCCTTATAGATGCTTTAGTCAGCTGGAAGTTATAAAAAAGGGCAGCCTTGTGGTTATTGAAGGTAGAAGCACCAAGTCCTTTCCTGATCATAAACTTTATGTCAGAGTATAATATTCAAAAGATCATAATCTACCCATTGTCTTTCTGCAACACATGCACAACCATCCAATTAGCTACACAAGTAGGCTTCACAGCTTAGGTAGATAAGAGTTCGAAATAATATGCTATTCTATTTTCAGAGTTGCACACCCCACTGGTTCATAATTGTTCATCCTGTCGCCTTTCTATCAAAGGTAAAAGTAGAACAGAAGGAATCATTTGCCATGTAAAGGGATATCAATATCCTGATAATCCAAGGCAGCTCAGCCAGGAAAAAGGAATAATATTTTCCTCTACATCTCCACCCCTTAAGTTTTACAGCATCAAAGATCACTACTAGTAACCCATGGACATTCATCGACACCATTAGATGCAATCGAAACAAATTAGAGCTATAAGCATTTAACGTTTTGTTTCAACAAAAACAGAAAAAGTAAACAAGAAATTTTACATACCCAAATTCATCGGGGACAGTGCGGGAAATCCTCATCTTTCTTCGCGAACCTTTGTAAATCTCCTCCAAGCTACACATTAACTTGCTCTCAATTGGCGGTGCTTTCCTATTCGATTTCTTCCCAGCCTCCGCCTTCCCATTCCTAAACAAACTCTCTCTCTTAAACCCTCCGCTCTTAGCACTCCCAGCTCCGCCGAAAAACTCGGCAAAAATGTCCTCGGCATCGCGAGGGAAATAAGAAAAAGAGGGATTGGAATCGGGCGGAGGGACAAAATCGGCGGAATTGAGAGCCTCCTCACCGTAGAGATCGTAGATCTGACGCTTCTTAGCGTCGCTTAAAACATCATAAGCCTCAGAGATCTGCTTGAACTTTGCCTCCGCCTCTTTCTTGTTGGAAGGATTCTTATCAGGATGCCATTTCATAGCCAAACTCTTGTAGGACCTCTTCAGGTCCTCTTCATTGGCATTTCTGTTCACCTTCAACACATTGTAGTAGTCCACCCCCATCAAACAGCTACGTTTCTGCAACTCCTCGATCTCTCACAGCCTCGAACTGACGATTGTTCTACCGAAATCCCTGAGAGCCCAAAATTTCTTCGAATTGACTTCAGTTCTGGAAGCAAAGTTGAAGAAGAACTGGAAAATTTGAAGAAACAGAGAAATCCGGGGGGGGGGGGGGAACC